ATTTCCTGATCACCCTCTTGCAAAATATTCCGTGCCAATGCAGCCCATGTCTCCCTTCTTTCCCGTGCAATAGCCTCACCTAACTCATGCCCTACCTCAGGATTTCTCATAGGGGAGGGTGGTAACGGTGCCGAAGGCTCCGTTCCAGAAGCAAGGTTAGTAGGTGAAGGTATTGAAGATGGCACAAAAGGATTAGTAGCTGCGGCAGGGGTCAGTGATGGCGCGGGGCGAGTCAAAATTACTGTATTCGTGGCGGGTGGCAATGGACACTCATTCATTCCCTCTAATGATCTATTTTTTGACATAGCTGCAGATGCCTTTGTGGCAGCTGCCTCTTCAGCCTGATACTGCAAAAGAACATTATGAACTGTCCGCCACAGTTTTCCCATTTTTTTTAGCAGTTCTATCATCATTTAAAACAGCTTCCCACAATTTATCTCCAAATTTTTGCCACTCACTTAATTCATGGACTGTATGGGGATTCTGAAAACACCCCCGGGCATACCCATAAGCAAGAAGTCCAGGAAGCTCCTTGCACAAATCAAAATCTTTAACCTGTCGCTTTTCTAAAAGGCAGGTAAATAAATCATACGCTGCTTGCCTTTCCATCTTACCGTCAGCGCGCGCTGTTGCAGCCCCTACAAAGTTTCAGCAGCACCTTACAGCAGGACTCTTCTATAAGGACGCCTGGGGCGCGGCAACGTTGCTTTTTGACCAGGACTCTCCTGTGAGGTTGCCTGGAACACGGCACAGCTGTTGCGTTTGGCCGTCCTTGCTGCGGAGGACCCGTCCCCTGACACCAACTCCCTTGGCTGACTCCAACTCCTTTTTAAGGTCCCAAAGATCCCAAAGGTCCCAAAGGTCCCTGCTGTTTGGGTGCCTTGATGAGTTCAGCGGAAGAAATGCAGCACTCAATATGAATGATCAGCAAGTCTCATTTATTGGTAACTCTAAAACCACTTATATAGCATCAATAATTAGGCTCATACCTAGTGCAAAAGCAAGCTCGTTATTGGATATTTTCATTTAAGGTCAACTCCACCTAATTCCACATTCCTGTGATCGCTCACCTATGCTGAATTCACATTCTTCTGATCACAGCGTCCTGTTCTCAGTTAACAGTTATCACTAAGGTCTTCCTGACTTTGCAACATCTCACACTAACCGAACTCTACTGTCTAATTCTTTCCCAGCTAACTGCTGCATGGGAACATGACCTTTGCTAGCTAGCCATTGCTCTCTACAGTTCTAACAATGTAATGCTGGGATTTGATACAGTTGCCCCTCAAATACCCCAGGTAAAGGGAGCTGAGTGCTTCGATTCCACGGAAACCATGAGACAGTATCAAGACAAGTATGCTGCTATGAAGCAGCACTCTTTTTTTTCTGCCATGGAGAGAGAGGACTCGCACGTGGAGGAGACCGTGGTGTTCCTGCACAGGGACTCACCCCTGACCAGAATCATGTGTGACAGGGAGCAGGAGGGCCCTGATGGCAGGGAGCCAGGTGAGGGCAAAGCAGCCCCTCCCACAGCCTGGCCCAGGGGCTGTCAGGGTGGCCAGCGTGGGGCCCAGAGCAGAGGCCAAAGGAGGCAGGAGCTGCTCAGCCAGGCCAGGGCTGGCAGCCTCCTTCCTCCTCAAGTGGGGCCCAGCTGGGCCAGGGGGCAGCTGTTGGGAGCCCCGTGCCCGCAATGGCCGCTGTTCTCCAAGGCCTCCAGCCCTGCCCATCAGCCAGGCACGCAGGCAGGGACAGAGCAGCTCTTGGGGTCGATGCTGTGGGCTGAGAGCCCCACAGAGCTGCTCATGCCCGCTGCCATTGTGTCTGTCCCCTGCAGCATGCCTGCTGTGTCGCCGTGCAGAAGCTGACCCCTGTGCTTCTCCAGGCCCTGGCAAGTGCCCCTGTGCTGCTCCTGTGCTGTCCAGGGCACCCACGGGCGTTGCTCGCGCCTGAGAGCGACCACAACTAGCGGGGAGTGTGACAGCTCTGCTGCTCTGGGCTCGGCTGTCAGGCCAAGCCCCTGGGGCTGGGGGCAGTGTCCTTTTGGGCTTGGCAGAGCCCGTAGGCTTCTGGAGGGCTGGGGGCCCTGCTCTGGCCCAGCCTGGCCCAGGCCTGGGAGGCCTTTGACATTGCTGATTGCCCTCACAGCCACCAAAGCTGAGCCAGAGCTCAGTGGCCCCAGCCTGACCGGACAGTCCGGACTGGAGCCTTCCCGTGGCTCCCCGGAACCCGAGAGCATCAGCGCCAGCTCAGAAACACTGCCTAACTGGGTTTGCCAATATTTTTTCTTGTTAGATCCTTGAAAGGATTTAAAAGGTAAGGTTGTTTGGCAACTTCTTCAAGGAACAAATAGGACAGGATTCTTTTCAAGAAAGGGTTTATTAGTTTGGGTTCAGTTTCCGTTTGGAATTCTTATGCTTCCTTAGACGATCCAGAAATTAATGAAAATCTAACATATTCCTAGGAGAAGTTTTTGAATCCACTACTTGCAGAAGTCTCTAAAGTCACTGTTTCTCTTAAACACTTCCCTTACATCTAGTTAGCTAGCTGCTCCTGTAACATACAGAGATGCAGTGGTTTACCTGGCTGGACATCACAACATCATGTTACACACACCAGTATACTAACAACCTTTTGTTCCCTGACAGTTACAAAGTTTCAGGCTCTTCTGGAGGTCCTGAATTAATTTTGCATGCACATCCATAGCCGTGTTCCCTCCCCATGCTCAGCATTCAGCCACAGTTACCAGGGAGCCAATGTTCCATACTCACCTCAAGCAATAAATCTACATATGTCTTCCCAACCCACTTTGTCTTCACTGAGCTCTACAGATCTACAAAATAACTTTAGGCCCTGTGCACAAAAGAAAACACAACACCAATCAATAGGGTTCAACCCTTCTGATTCGGCTGCTGCTCCCAACAATCATGAATGAACAACACGATAAAGTCAGAAGCTCTATCCTCCACGTCCCTCCTATTCTCTTGCCCCCCACCACATGTCGGCTCCAGCAGAAATGTTCCCTACTGCAGCCTGGTGTACTAAGAAAAATGAAAGGCAGCAGCTGTCTCCCTGAACATGCTGAAATCTAAATTGCAGTGAAACAGCAGCTCTTGCATTAAATGCTCAGCAGCAGGATCCCACAGCTGCCCCCAGAAGTGCTGCCTGCCAAGGGCTGAGATCTCCATTCTAACACACCCTGTAAATCAGACAGGCTGGAAGATTGCAGGGCAGTAACTGTATGAACACAGCCATACATTTCATCAGCGTTATCTAACAAGTCTCAAGAAACAAACGTCATTTAAGCCTGACTTGAGACTATATTCTACAAAATAGAACAAGCAATTGTTTTGGCGGCCTGTGTAATTTTTGGGGGCTGTGTATGTTTTCTTTTGTTGTTGTTGTCTTTGTTTTTAAATCGAAAATTCACTGGGTTCAGAAGAGAAAGCCCCAGATTCATTAGGATGAAGAACCGCACGCACATATGTCACTGACAAGAGCACTCGGCATTCCTCAGATTAACACCAGAAAGACAGGAAAAAGTTAAAGGTGATAGACCTACCTGAAAGGATCCTAAATGTCTCAGTAACCTGTCTAGTGACTATTTTTTTGCTAAGCTCTAAAAGTTCCTATAGCTATGAGGCAATTATCTGAAAGAAAGGAAAGACAGAAAGCTGCTCAGCCTTTATTTTTTACCAGGACTCTCTCATGGGATCTACCACAACTTTGACCACAAGAAAGCATGGCAAATTTTGACTACAGAGCATTCATAACAGGCAGCATTTTTTCCTCCTTACTCAAGTCCAGTAAGGGTTTAAAAGGGAAAAATATACAAAAGGGGCTGAACAAGTTGTGTCGTACCTCTTAGGCGTTCATCATCTATGGAGAAGAAGAAAATTCTAGCACTTTCTGTGCGTGGTAGAGAAAAAACCCTAGACAAGTACAAAGGGGTTTTAGCATCCTAAAAGGTCCTATCAAATCCCATGAGCATGAGTTAGAGCTGTAGTGCCTCAGAGAAATGGTACACGGAAGAGCTTTACTGCATAGTATGCAAATAAAGCCTTCTATTAAAAAACCCCACTTTTTACAAGAAAACTGACTGTGTCTTTGCCTTTTGGCAAAACTCAGTTTGGGGTTGGCCAAACCAAAACAACCCAGTCAATTTCTTGTGCTCATCTTCTCTCTCTTCACATTCAACTTCACATCCAAGGGGCTGCTGGGACTCTGGACTCCACACAGCACCAATGGTTTTCCAAGATGACTTTCCTTGCTCAGAGGTGTGCAGTGTCAGTTTCCCATTTCCTCAGTGCTGCCATTCATATTCCCACAGCATCCAACTACTACAGCCAAGTAGACAACAAATACAAATGGAACTTGCCTTTCTTGGTGCTTTTCAATTTCTGACATCTCAGGCTCATCAGCGCCCTCAGAAGTGATGTCTTGGAAATGTGAATCCTCTTGCCACCTGACTTTTTCCAGTTTTATCGTCCCAAGTATGTGAGGCTCTGCAAAACCAGCACCAAAAGAGAAAGCAAGCCAAAACCAGATTATTTCTCTGCTTGCCAGGAAAAATTCCTTCTTTCAAGTGAAATATGTACACTGGAGAAGACAGATTTAGGAAGGACAGAATCTTCTCCTCCCTGATTTTCTGAGCTGTAGCTCTGCTCCAGGATCTTCCACTTTGTTCAAGGCATCTCCTATGTATTCTTCAACATTTATCATCGCATCCAGAAGACAGTGAATAGCTTCTGAATTCAGCACAAGTGTGGGGGGCTTGTTGCTTTGTGTTGTTGTTTGTTAATATTTTGGATAACTTGGCACGGCTTTCTTTCAGTCCTACCTGACTGTGACTTGATTAAATATTCCTTCATCTTCATTTCATAAGGCCTTATTTTATCTGAGCTTAGGACACCCCAATGATCCTTCAGTGTCATTCAGTTTCACTTTTCTGAAGGTCCAGGAATAGAATTTGGTAACTAACAGAATGGTCATGGAGCTTGGGGTCAACTCCAGGATTTTGCTCCTCCCTCTGCCTTAACACCCATTTTCCTTAAAATCCTGTTGTGTTCCATGTAACTTGGTATGACTGCTGTGTCACCTTTGTCCCTGTTTGAGAACTTTAGGGCATGACAACAAGCTTTTTCACCACTCTGCAAAAATCCCAATGCCTTCTCAAGGCGTGCCTCTCAAAATTCCTGAGATGCAAGCAGGAGTTACCTCTCATTAATCTCCCACAACCTTGGCAAGTAGCAATGAAGATCAAAATGCTTCAGCATAAGTACTGACTTCTGCTGCTGATCATCCTCTGGATTATGACCTTCTTTACACCATATTGCTCTACAGTGCCCGCCAGAAGCCGTTCCTTAGAAATGGCTACGTTAGGAGGGTTCTGCCGTTACCTTCTTTGATGCCCAACTCCTCTGTGTCTCCAAAGAAGGAAAACTTGAACGCACTCGACTCCTGAGTTCTGTCGTTTTCAGGCAAAGGTCTCGGACATTCGTCTGGGGCAGAGTCCTGCGCATCCTCTTTGTCCCAGGCTATTCCCACTGTCTTTTCTGGTTTGACCTTTGAAGGTCCAATCAAGTCTTTAAAATCAGCAGCAGTGTCACAATCGATTTCTCCAGACACTTGAGGCAGTGTCTCACTCTCTTCTTTCTTCTTCCGCTTTACTGAAGGAAGGCTCTACTGAAATGAGATTGTTTAAGGATAGCAACTCAGCACACGGCCTTTTCAAAGACAGCTTCCCTAAGAGCCACCTTGCTTTTCATGTCTCCCTAAACGTATCCAAGCCATTAAGGACTGGTTCACTTTCAAGGGTAAGCAGTGGGGAAATATCTGTCTAAAGGCAGCAATGAGTGTCCTTTTTAATTAGCTATGTCCTTAAGTGGCTTTTCCCTTAACAATACACGATAACAGAAACCAAGAATCATAGAAATGCCAAGAGCTAATTCGGGTTTTCCCACAGACCTGCAAATCTCAAGGTCCCTGTACTGACCCTTCTCACCTTCACTTACAGCAGCAAACGGAAGGACCAGAAAGAAAAGATGACACTACGTGCTGCTGATAGAGGTCCGAGTTGAGGCCCGACGTGGCTGGCGGGAGCGGTTGCTCCAGCGCGACGTCCCCGATGGTGTCCCCCTGCGCCTGGGTGTCTCAGCACTTGCTGCTGTCCTCCTGCTCCTGTTCTGGTGACTCCTGGATTGGACAGGTTGATTTGAGGCTCGACGTTGCGGGCAGGAGCGGCTGCGTCTGGGGGACGTCCCTGAGGATGTCTCCCTTCGCCTGGGCCTCTCTGCCCTCGATGTTCTCCTGCTGCGCCTGTCTCGGCAACTCCTCGACCGGGCAGGTGGACTCTGGGCATGAGCTTGCTGCCGGGAGCGGCTGTGTCTGCGGGAAGCCCGCGACGGTGTCTCCCTTTGCCTGCGCCTCTCTGCACTTGATGTTCTCCTGCTGCTCCTGTCATGGCGACTCCGCGACCGGACGGCCCCATCTGAGGCCCGCCTTTGCTGGTGAGAGCGGCTTCGCCTGCGGACAGGCCCAGCATGTCTGGAATGGACCCTGTTCTCAGGGCCCGTCCAGCTGCTGGATCTTGCCCTTGCTGTGCGTGGGCTGCCGGTGTCTGCCAAGGAAGAAGCTGGACGCCGGAGGCTTCTGTGGCTGCTGGTCCCTGGAGTTGGAGACTGGGGAGCCAGACGCGATGGCACTGCGCTGCTGGAGCTTGGCCTGATGGCCTCAGATTCTGACAGGCCATGAGCAGGCTCCAGTCCTGACTGTCTGGTCAGGCTGGGGCCATTGAGCTCCGGCTCATCCCTGGGGGCTGTAAGGCCAAACAGGAATGTCAGAGGCCTGCCAGGCATGGACCAGGCCATGCCCGACCAGAGCACTGCCCCCAGCCCTCCAGGAGCCCATGCGCTTTGCCGTGCCCAGCCTGGGCACTGGCCCCAGCCCAGGGACACCCGCCTGCTTTGCCTCATACCCGTGCCGAGACCAGCACAGCTGTCACACTCCCAGTGGGTTGTCCTCACTGTCAGGCCAGAGCAGCGCCTGTGGGTGCCCTCGGCAGCACAGGAGGAGCACAGGAGCAGCTTCCAGGGCCTGCGGAAGCAAACGGGTTGATGGCTCTGAAGACAAAGTGTCCCAGCATGGGATTGTGCAGCCGAGCTCCTCTGGCTCTTTCCGCTTTGAGCCCTTCCCGAGACACAGGTTCCCTGCAGAGCCCCGGGTGCAGCTTCCCAACTCACCCCTCTTCCTCTGCCTCCTCCCTGCCTCCTGGGTAAAGGCATTCCCTGGCATTGCACGTGTTGTGCCTCTCTCCTAGATCTGCAAAGGCGTCATTGTCCTCCCATGTTGGGTCTCTAATGGAGAAAGGAAAAGCTGATGTGTTTCTGCTGCCCTGACCCCATGGAGGTAACAGGGTGTCCCTGCTCTTCCTCCAATGCTTTTCCAAGTCCCGTGAGAAGCGGAAGTCCAAACTCCCTGGATGGGGCAGGGTCTGGACTTCTGGGGCAGGGCCTGGCACAGCACAGCACTTGCACCCTCCTGCCTTGTGAGCCCCGCAGAAGGACACCAACCTGATGGGGATGCGAATTCCCATGACAAACATTTCAACAAGGAATGTCTCACGGTCTCTGCAGAGGGGGCAGCAGAAGGAAAAAAGACCAGCGCGCATGGCCTGTCCCTGCAGGGCAAACAGAAGCAGTGTGAGCCAGGCCCCGGTGCTGCTGAGCACCTGCTGTGTCCCAGGCCTGAGGGCATGGCTCCCACCTGGAGGCAGTCCCTGTGGAACCAGGCTCTTTTGCACGCCGGGCACACGATGGTCTTGTAGGTCATTCTGTCCTCCACTGGCTCCATGCAGATGGGGCATTCGGTGCCCGGCTCTGGAGTCACCTGCACGTCCTGCTCTGGACGGTGCTCAGGGCAGAAGGACCTGGGGGCAAAGGGATGGGCATAATGAGAAAGACTTGGTCCTTCCCTGGGGGTGGCCAGGAGGGGAGAGGGGCTACCTGTATGGGCCAATGTACAGATTGACACAGCCACCCTCCTTGGCA